TCTAAAAGGAACCATGATAAGCAGAAATATCATCACAGATGTACTGATGGGAGTGACGACTTGTTACCGCGGTGCCTCGTTGATTTAAAATATGCAGATGATTTAGTCCTTCTAAGTGAAGATGATGATAAAACAAAGAGTCTTCCGAATACCTCCAGGAGAAATCTTTGAATGTTTCTTCCGCGATTCGCTCCTGTTAGATGTAAGATGTAAGGGACTGGACTACACCGTGGCATAGGTTAAAGATAGGGAATGAAGTGGCATAGTGTGTTGACCACCTCACTTATTTGAGCAGTTGAATCAACCACAACGGACTTATCTCTGAGGAAATCTCAAAACGGCTAGGAAAGAGCTTGTGTGGTATGTCACTTTTGTCGTAGATGTGATATCTGGCTATTTATCAAAGGACGTGTGTACTGCACAGAAGTCCGTTTTGTCCCCTTTATGACTGTGAGACATGGTCATTAAAAGTGGAAGATATGAAAAGGCTGGCTAGCTGCCTTTCTTCATAGGTGTCTGCGTTCTATCTCTTCTATGTTAGGCGGTATAATAGGATGAGTAATATTAAAATTGGAGGTAAAGTGCTAGATAAGAAGGGTGGGTCATTCGATAAAGTTGTGAAGCTGAATCTATTATGATAGTTAGAACACGTGTTGCACATTCAGAGCCATTGCCTTCCACAACGGGGAATGTTAACTGACATAAGATCAGGCTGGAAAAGATCTAGTGGTCGTCAAACCATCAGTCCATGAAATCTTTGACAGTTAGTTTCAGTTAGTCACTTAGTTAAGTGTAGACCTTCTGGTTGGGATTTTTGAGATTCTAACGACAACTGGTGACATGGCTCAAGGTCGTTGTCATTGGTGCAGATGCATTATGTTTATATGACGCAGTGAACCATTCTATTTAAAAAAAAGAAAACCATCAGCTCCACCCCCATAAAATAATGCTTCTCTATGCAACTATTATTTGGTTTTTAATAGTTAATCACGGATTGATATCAGTTAGAGAACCATTGGAAACCATTAGGGAGTACTGGACAGCTGTTTCATCCTAGTTTGTGACTTGTCGGTAGTGCTCACTCAGCAACGGGGTTCGAACCCAGGACCTTCCGGTTACAAGGCAAGCTCGTATACCATTCAGTCACTGGGACCCGATTCAATGACCAGTCCATGAATTCTACCTTCTACCTATTCGTGATTTAGCGCGACCCCAACCAATAAATCCGTGATCAACTCGTAAAAAAATCTAATCCTTACAAACCAACTATGGAGAATATTATTTGACTGCAATATTTTTAGACTGATTATTTCAAACAGTTTTTTTTCAATTCCTTGGTGTTTCCAAGTAGAATATAAGGCTCCAAGCTTTCAGCTTTGAAGTTTCAGTAGCAATGATGCTCGTTTACGAAATATAGGATTGCTGGCAATAAGCTCAACACTTTCCTTCTTTATCGAACTTATTACCGGCTGCTAGGCGAGGTTTAAGCGCTCATCAGCTAAGAATCGAACCTTGAACCAGAGATGAGGCGTGGTCGGCGAGCCTTCCACCGTACTGAAACACCATCAATTCATTTTATACAGGATAAGGCTTATACTTCATATGTACATCTCAATTTTGTTATGTAACACACAACTAACTTGATTAGCAAAGAATCAATCTGTCTGACATCCACCTATCTGAAGGAAAGAAAAAACAACGGTGAACAATTCTTCTTTATTGTTTAGGCTTTTTTTTTTATTAATTACGTCTTTTCAAGATAGAGTCGACAGTCCTATAGGCTTAACAACAACAACAACACCGAAAGATCACTACTCACTTATTCTTTTTTCACACATACAATATAATACACATCACATGTTTTGGCTTAATGCCATAATTTAAAATAGACAGACAAATGAAGTGAGAGATAATAAAACATTTTATAATAAAAAAAAACTTGGAAGGAAAATGATTGGTCGATTAAGGTGAACAGATTTCCGTCGCATATTTAGTACAATAGTTATATATATATATGTATACTTCCCTTATGGTGTTGATTCCAGGGTAGGTACAAAAAAGTATAATAAATTAGTAAATATCAGTTGAATAAATAAGCAGAGTGTAGTAAATACTACTAATTTTCCTAATTTTAGTACTATACCATACACAATACTACTACTACTGCTAATACTACATGATTGGCATATTCAGATAATAAGCCTCTATTGAACAATTGAATGAATGAAATTTGGCGCTGCATACAAATGGCATAAAGATAATCTATTCTATAGTACCATTATTATCACTACTATTATCACTTATTTCAGTTGCAAAACCCGAGATGATATATATATATTGCATTGAACCACTTTCCCAGAACTAGTTTCCGCCATTAATAGTAAATTAAATAGTATCATCATCCGAGTGAAAAAAATGGTTCGAATAAATTTTAATTCTTAGTTTTACGTGAGAAGATATAATATATATATTCTTCTGGACGACAAAAACAATATTCGATGCGCATTCCCCTCGTCTTTCAATTATTAACACTACTTACATCAAGCTGTTTATGACAAAATTAAAAAATTCTCCCCTGAGAAATGTAATCAACGAACTCTCGTTCTACTGTGGACACCTGAATGATACTTTTACGCTGTATAAGAATAAAGTCAATACCCAGGTGCTTCCAAAAACGTTAAATACACGTACGAAACCGAAAGAGACAATACATTATCATTTCTTGAAGTTCTGTTAACAAGAAGGCAAGATGGGATATTTTCCGGCAAAAAAATCATGGATTGACCAATGCACAAACCATTTCGGGTTGTTTGTTCCATTTGCATACAAACGGAATCTCATCAGTAACCTGGTTTCTTAGTGCTAGAAAAATCTGCACAACCGACAATCTTGACAATGAAATAAGGAAAATAGAAAACGTGTTACATGAGAGAACGGATATCCATGTTAAAGTCTCCATGATTAGGAAAGATAGAGAGAAATGCCTCGAAACAGTGCAAAAGAAACGTGTATAATATATACATGATTTGACCGTTTAAAAGAGACAAAACCACTGAATTATTGGCATCGAAACTCAGAAAAATAATAGCTTAAACATTTTTGCTGCAATACAATGTTTAAAATTCGCCACTTGTCGTATAAATCCGATGCAGCTGAAGGATAAGCTATTGAGTCTGACTACCTCAATGTACACTTATAAACCTAACTATTCTTGTGGGGACAGTTACATAGGTAGAACGACTCGGAAGGTCCATTGTCGCTTTAGTGAGCGCTGTCTAGCGTGATTAGATAAATGAGTAGTAAAATTAATAAGGAGTCAAATTTTATACAAGGCATCACGTCAATCCCCTTGGTTTGGTATACCTCCGATCACTAAGCATAGCTGAGGAAGTCTCCATAAAACTCTTTTTAGCCAATCTTTGTATTTAAATAAAGTTTGTTCATTCCATCTGCTCCCCTCATGGCCTTCAACCTCGACTTCGAATAGTTTTCCGGGTGGAACCGAATGACTTAATATTATTTTTATTTCCACTGCCAACTTCATCATCAATATCATATTGTGCTATAGTTGCATATTTTAATCTTAGTTTTCCAATTTATTGCTATTAACATTCTGCTTATATCCTTCGTAATTACATTGAATTCTATTGATTTACACTGTTTTAAATGCCCGTGAATGATTTTTGATTATGTAATCGTAGAGCCTAATGAGAATTTACCAAAATTACGTATTTGCTTTCTTAAATGGTGTTCCATAATTTCGAAATGTGTCATTTGCTGATCAGGATTGAGAGAGAGAGAGAGTATTCGTGTTAACTACTCACGACCATACGCTGAGGAGACCATCAAGTGACATCACTAGACAAGCCATTGTTCGACTAGAACCCGAAAGGGAAGCGGCGAGTTGGTGGTCAGTGCGAGGGTGGGGTGACTTGGAGGAGGTCATGTGAAGAGGAGGTGAAAGCATGTGGGCAGACTTGGAGCCAGGTGAAAACTTTAGCAGAGAACCGAACGCAAAGGAGATGCTCGGCTGAAGCTCTATGTTCCTCTAGGAATTAAAGGATATAATAAATAATAAATATATCTACTTGTAACCAAACATAAAAACGAAAAACTACAAGTGAAGTCAGCAACCTATGGTAGGAGTAGTACCATGGTTTTCAGAATCAGCCCAACACTTCCTTAACAATTAAGCTGGGCTAAATATGCATATACTTACAAAATAGTTCTAATTTGCACGTATTAGTTTGTGGGGACTGGATTTGTTTGACCACGAATCGATATCAGTTAGCGAACTATTGGAAACCAAGTAGTATTGTATAGCAGTTCCGTCCTAGTTTAAGACTCTCCGGCAGGACTTACCCATGAATCCACAAGGTATCGAATCCAGGACCTTGACAAAACAAGGGAGGCTCATCGACTACTCTATTCAGCCACTGAAACGGAATCCAGTCGGTCATGAATTCTAATTTCTGACAATTCGCCGACATCATCGGCGAGTATTTATCTTCATACCCGACATGGCGGACGCTACTGGCTACGATTTCTCACTGGTGGTGGAAATATACACATCGAATAGATAGAAATCACAATTTATAGGCCATTGCATTCCACCCCCAATGACTGAATGAATAGTCAATAAGTTCACTTTGTATCCTGTGAAGGTGTCCTGGGTACTTCTGAGGAGTTGGAATCTAGGTTGAAACAGATGCCCAGCACTCCCTGGTTTTCAATGGTTCTCTCTAACTTGAGATATGGATTACCTGCGGATAAACAGCTAATCAAACTGGTCATATCCATTCAAGTGTTCATAACATTTGCATTTGTCTAACACAGTCTGTAGAACGAACGATCTAAGCAGTTGTTAATTCCAGTTGACAAAACAAACATCCTGTGCAGATTAGGGATAGAGATATTTAAATTTGTAATAATAAATATGTTATAATAAAAAAGAGATGGACTGCATAATTCAGCATTAAAAAAGCACACTCACAACTGACCTTAATTTCGCCTGTTGACTTATCAAATGCTACATGCAAATTATGCGTAACTTCAGTTGGACCGGATATTTGTGGTTCAGGCTTTTCTGATCGGCCAAATTTTGGAAAACGGAACATTTTCACTACAATAGAATGGGACAAGAATAGAAAACAAATAATGATAGAAAGCAGTTATACATGATGTTTTTGGATTAATCATACTAATTAGTTTAAAAGAGAAGTATTATTTACTCGTCTAAGGAACAACTAGGAGTGAAGAAAAGCATCAACGTAGGCATGTAGAGAAACCGTACATTTCGGGCCCCATGTTTGGGTTGGTCTGTAAACAAACAGCAAGGTATTTCACAAACATATCTGTCTTGTATTTATGTAAAGATAAAGTATTGTTGTTATTATATGGTTGGAGGTAGTCAGCAGAAAGCCTGAAACGCAGATTTCGTGTTTGCTGGCACTTGTCAGGAAGGCATGTCTGTTATCTTGAAAGAACTTTTGCTCCCCCCCCCCTGAGATTCGAACCCATGTCACTCAGTGCTGTAATCAGAGACATAATCAGTACACTATTCGGGCTGGCAGTTGACCTCCTATAAGACTGCGCTGAATACTTTTGATTGGACACTAACAAGAGTCACGCTTGGTGTTTGTGTAGACTGAATTCTATCAGCCCATTCGGCAATGTAACCACCATACTAGATGGTTTGCTATCAAAGTGAACTCTGAATGTTATTAGGCGGTTGAAGGCAGTCGGCAGGAAGCCTTATTTGACCTAAGGTTCCTGGATGTTAGCACTCGTCAGCACTTGCCTCCAACCATCTAATCAATCGATGAAGTCGTGAAGCTACAAAGACTGAGATGGTTAGGACATGTGTTACGTATGCCAAGTCACCGCCTCCCTCGACGAGCAATGTTAGCGGATTTAGGGTCAGGCTGGAAAAGAGCTAGCTAGCGGTGGTCAAACAAAAACATGGCACCAGTCAATGAAATCCACAACAGTTGGTCTAAGCCACGTAGGAAGGTGTAGACTTCCAGGCTGGGGTCCTCGGGACGGTAAAAATCTATGGTTGGAAACAATTGGTGACATGGCTCAAAACCGTTCTCAGTGGCGCAGATGCATCCACTCCTTGTGACTTATGATCTCCAATGAAACTGTTTTGTATTTCTTTATTACTCCTTTGTCTCACACCTCTGTTTACTGTTTCTATTATGCTTTTCTTGTACTTTCTTCTCTTGCTTCGCGTGCTACTTGGAGTGTGGCGACTTGAACTTCCGCACATTTGTGCAAAGTTCTATGTCGAAAACAGACAGACAGACAGATCTAATAATATTACAGTTCTGAGTGCACCGTGATGTAGGGCCAACTAGCATGGTGGCCAAATCTGTCTGTTTCCGACATAGAACTTTACACCGATGTGCACCAGTTCAAGTCGCCAAACTCCCTCCTTGTACCACACAAAGCAACAGAAGAAAGTAGAAGAAATGCATAATAGAGACAGTAAACAAAGGTGTAAGACAAAGGAAGAGTAATAACGAAGAACAATATAGTTTTATTGGAAATCATAAGTCACAACGAGTGGATACATCTGTGCCAGCCATTGAGAACGAGGATTTTGAGCCATGTCACCAATTGTCTCCAACCATTGGTTTTTACCGTCCCGAACACCCCAACCAGCCAGTCAGGAAGTATACACCTCCCTACATGACTGGCTTAAACTAACTGTTGTAGATTTCATACACTAGTGTCATGCTTTGGTTTGACCGCCACTAGCTCTTTTCCAGCCTGGCCCTATGTCTGCTAACATTCCCCATTGTCGAGGAGGGCGATGACTAGGAATGCAGGCGTAACACATGTCCTAACCAACTCAATCGGTGTAACTTCACAGCCTCGTCAATTGATTTCCCCTCCCAACTATCTAGCACTCGACCAAAGCCTAACCTCAATATTGCTCACCTTATTATGCCACTTTACAGGGGAGATAGAACTCGGGCACCTCTGATCAAAGACAGCTAATCTTTTCATGTCTTCCACTCTCAGTGGCCAGGTCTCGCTCACAGCCATAACGGAGGACGGAGCGGACTGATAAGCAGTACACCCTCCCTTTGGTCGATAGTCAAATGTCTCGTCTTCTCCAGAGACGGCGTAAACTGGCAAATGAGAAACGAGCCCCCTGTATCCGTGCTGAGATTTCGTTAGAGATCAACCCGTTGGCCCTGGCTGATGGTACTTCCCAAATAAGTGAAGCAGTCAACGTGCTCTACCATTTCACTTCCTAATTTCGCCATATCGAGGTACCAAATTCCAAATAAATATTACCTTACCAAGTTTTTCGTCTTCTATCGTTACAATAAGACTTCAAACTTCAGCTTTGACGTTTCAGAAGGATCGGTGTTTTTCCACGAGCTAAGGTTGATAGCCTGACGCCCTTCAACCTTACCGCTTTGTCGGGCTTACAACCAGCCTTGGGGGAGGAGGATATGTTCAGGTCAAGTAACCTACATATGTACACACAGCTATAAAACATTCACGCGGTACCCGTTCACATCCAAGTGTGAATGAAAATCAGATTCCTTTCTACCCTGTAAGTTAAGTATATAATTACAATAATAACTATCCTGTATTTTTAAAATGTCGTTAAGTACAAAATGAAAATGGCCTTAACAACAACTGTTGCGCTTACAACATACTACACACTATACTTTCGTTGCAGTATTATATGCATGGCTCTTTTAGCTATGGTAATTAAAGGCTATAAAGACAAAAGAAGAGAGTAAAAGCATAAAAAGGATGAATCATCCTCACATAAACATACACACACACACACGCGCACATAACACAGCTCTCATTCTCTACATGAATGAACTGGTAATACCCTAATCTAAAACCAAAAAAGGGTAGAAAAGTATATGATAGCTATTTCTACGGGGGTGAAAACAGTGTGTACATTATGTGTATGTGTGTATTCATGCATATACATACACACAGACAAAGACTAGAATATGTATACGATATAATGATGATTAGAAGTGGACAAAAACTATTAACGCACTAAAGTGTCTTCTGCCATTACTACTGAACACTAGTAGAGTGTGGCACAGTAGAGAAAAGAAAAATGCATCTCTCTCTCTCTCCCTATTTAAAGCCTATGCTCCAGAAACTGACATACTTTATTTTTGTTGTTGACTATCATCAATAAAATGATCGATATAATTGTTACTATCGCAGAAAATAATGATGATAGTAACTAAGATTAGTTACAGGAAGATAGTTCAATTACTTAACTTTTAAAGACATAAAGCTCTGTTGGATTAATCTTCTACAATGATGTGAGGGACATTAATATTACGCGATGTGCACATCCCACTGCCCTATAATAAACTGACTGGTTTCATCAGCATCGAACTTTGGACAGAATTGTACCAGGTCATGTTGCCAATGTGAAGTCAGTGCTACTATACGGATCAGAGACTTGGCGGCATGTCATAAAGAGCACCTCAAACAAACTTCAGACCTTCATTAACAGTTGTCTTCGCTCAATTCTACTTAAGATCAGATGGCTGGCCAGAAAAGATCAGAAACAGGGATCTCTGGCAATGAGTGAACCAACCAGGAACCGATTTTGCAACAAATACGCAGGAAGAAATGGAGGTGGATTGGCCATACTCTGAGGAAACAAACCATCAAGTGACATCACTAGACAAGCCATTGTTCGACTAGAACCCGAAAGGGAAGCGGCGAGTTGGTGGTCAGTGCGAGGGTGGGGTGACTTGGAGGAGGTCATGTGAAGAGGAGGTGAAAGCATGTGGGCAGACTTGGAGCCAGGTGAAAACTTTAGCAGAGAACCAAACGCAATGGAGACGTTTGGCTGAAGCCCTATGTTCCTCTAGGAATTAAAAGAAACAATAATAATAATGTTGCCACACTCCATGTAGCACACACAGTAAGACATAAGACGGAAAAACGAGATTCGAAGGAATAATAATACGCAGAAACTTTAGGGAGAAAGAATGCAAAGTAACATGGAAAACCATGAGTTTTAATGGATTTGGGAGAATAGCACAAAGAATAATTGCATTTACGCCACTGAGAATGATTTTGAGCCATATCATCACTAACTGTTTCCAATAATTGGTTCTTAGAATCTCGAGAACTCCAACCTCTCAATCTACACCATTGTCCTATAAACAATTAATCATCACTTAATGGTAGCGTCTTTCATTGCCGTGCGAACATTAACTTACTGTTAATGCCAGTGACTATCTCAGCATTCAGTTACAGACTATAGTCCAGGGAGAAGTAGAAGAGACATAAAATTTGTTATTTTTTTGTAAATAACTTTATTTAGTCGATGTACGACAAAACCACTTCATCAGATAGATGTATACACAATGCTGTGATAGTGTACCTATGCATACCTGAGCTTGACAGCCCACAACAGAACGAATTCTACATAATAAATCTGAAGTGAAGCAGCATATGATTTTATGAGAAATAGCTAGTGGAAATCAATCAATCAATGAATGACTTTTCTATTGATTTATGGAAATATATTGAGTTTGTGTAAATAGTTTCAAAAATTGAACCCATAACAAAATCATAAGACTGGAATGAATCCCAATACATAGCTTTGTCCCTTCCTATCCAGCCAAAAAAAGGAATACTGTAGAAACCCTTAGCTACAGGTTTAGAGCTGTTTGTTTAGATGATGAATTCGCGGTTACACACACGGCTCATTAATTGAAAACATTTCATCAAGAAACACATGAACAATAGAGTAGAATGGAATTCTTCGCTACCTGCTTAACAATAAGCCTGTAATGTATATAACACTGTAATTTAAAAGTGATGTACAAAGAGAAATTAGAACCAGCAAGTTGTGAAAATCGATTCAAAGAACATTTAATACCAGCAAGATGGAGCTTACATTTTCCATACAACCGGTTGCGATTTCGAACCTGAGAGATAAATTACCTAGGTTAGCCACCTCTCATTGTATCTGTCAATTCAAATGCTTCTCGTGTGGAGCTACTTATATTGGCTATTCTTTTAGGAGCCTAATTTTTAGTCCTCGTGTACACCTACCAGTGTGGCTAAATAAGGGTATTTTTAAGACCACCAACAGTTCCGTATTAAATCACCTAGTCAAAACAGGCCAAAAGAAACTAGCATTGAAGGATCTCTATCATTTATCAGGTATTCCATAAACCACCGAAGGCCTCTAGATACCGTACACTCTAAAGAGCAGAGACTACTGCAATCCGTTTAAAACAACTGGAGATCTACGTGCAAGATAAACAGGTCCAGCCAGCTACTATCACTTACCCTGGACTATTGTGGAACCTATAAGTTCATAAATTCTGCATGTTACTTTCATTAATTTATCGGATATCCAGTTTAGTGTTATAATGATGCATATTATCAATAATATTATGAATATTGTTCAATAGCACTCCTTACCTCTCTGAAGACTATAATTTGCGTATTTAGATAATCGACTTTTAAATTAATGATTTATGGATTCAAAAATAAACAGATCAATACAGAACTTTTCACAGAAATGTATTAATTTGAATTGTCGAGGTGTTTGAAACACAACATGGAGTAACCAAGCGATCATAAGTAGAATAGGATTGAAATTAACAAAAAGGGTTTCATAGAAGAAAGGAAAATAGTTAAAGGAAGGCTAACAAAAATGACAGTGAAGAATGAATGCACACACACATGTCAGTTTCTTGTTCAGATGCTTCGACGATGTCGGTGGAAACACATGATCACTCACTGGGGAATGCAGGTAAATCTAGCTGACAAGTCCCAAATAGGACGAAATGCGCATCCTGGACTCCACTGCTAGTCACCATCCACCGATTAAACGTGGACCAACATATAAATACTTAGTAGAATGTGTACATCTCTTAAGTTTGTAGGACTCATTTTCATATGTTGTAATCATTTAGAAAGTGGAGGTTGGCAATTAATTAAAGACAACATCATTTTAGGTATACTCTCTCCAGTGAATATTAAAATCTCTAGTGTTTTTACTGCTTAAAATGCATCACATGAAAATATGTACTACAGAGTTCTTACAACCAACGCCTTTTATCCAATAAAAGCCTACCTACATCAACAACACTGTTACAGTATGATACACTTTTGAATATGATTTCAATGATTCAAATCAGCAGGTAGGAAACATTAATAACGATAAGTGTGTCAGGATATATTTTATCTGTGCATGAAGAACTGATGTCTTATAAGTAGTTATTTTCTGGGGAACAAAATCAATATCATTCCAATTAAAAGTAATACTAAATGCTTTAAACACAAAATCAAAAGATTTTTTAAAAAAACCATTGAAATTGGATAGATTATTCCACAATAAAAAGGTAACTTGTGTTGAATGCCAACCACAATAACCAGAGGAGTCGTTGAGTTCATTTAAAATCAATTTCATCAATAACTCCATTATAGATAAGATTTCATTTTGATAAACCACACAGTGTTGTACAGTTATATGAACTGATGACGTTTCGAGCACAAACTATTGCTCATAATCATATCAAGTTACTCACACAACTTTGCTCTTTCATTTATATACATGTGTAGAGTCGATTAGATATTGGATTAAAAATCAATGTGAGATAATGTACATTCAGAAATAATAGTGCGAGTGTTGTTGATCAATTGTAGTTAGATGGGAAAAAAGGACGAGTGTTTTTTACAGTCATAATAGGCTACTTGTTAGAATGTTGTGTTTGAATGTGTTCATATCAAAATGAAATTTTATCTATAATGGAGTTATACTCTACCACAGTGCCCAAGTTTTATACTTATATCAATTTCATCAATGATGTGCCTGAATTCAATCGGTTTAAATCGTTAGTCTGCTGAAATCTTCAGCCTTTTGAGTACAGGCTTAAAAATTATGCAGCATGATGTGAGATTTCATAATGGTTTTATACACATAATTAACCTAAAATCAGTTAATAAAAAGGTGGATTTGAACCGCTGCCAATGATTCTTAATTATATCACTTGAGGCATCCAACCATAGGTTTGGATTGTGACATGCACTACTCAATACGCCAACTTGTACTTCACTATGCTATTGAGATCGAAGGTCGACAACTTCATGGATGTTTGTCACATCTCTGTCAGACAACTATTCGCTTATACCCAAATTAACCAATGTTTAGCTAGTAGTAACTTAAGCTTGACAATTAGTAGACATTTGAAATAACTATCAATCAGAATGAAAGCGGCACGACTGTACACATCTAAGCTAAAAAAAGTCTTCAAAAAAAAAATATATATATATATGTATATATATATATATATATATATATATATATATATATATATATATATATATATATATATAGGCTCTCTACAGCCCACTTACCCTTCTTTTTCTTTTTCTTCTCTTCCTTTCCTGGTGGAGTTGGCAACGGCTTTGACGGGGGTAAAACGGTCTTATCCTTCTTTCGCCTAAAAAACAAAAGTGAGGTAGCTGTTATCAGTGAAAACCCAAAAACAGGATAGTTACTCTGCTTAAAAGGTGTCTAAAGTGGTAGTTTACAGTTCAAAAATATTTGGAACTTAGCAGCTCCGTAGATCGAACCTCTTTCTCAGTATGTTGATCCTATCATGCTTGTATAGTATAGTGGTCGTTTATAATATTAATAAAAACAGTAAACTGAATATCATATTCAACAAGAAAAAGGAGCAATACTCGTGGGATATTTAGGATAAAGTGACACTGTGGACGTGGACCGTATACAACATGATAGTCTGCTGCACAGTACAGTAAACAATTTTTCCTAGAATTTCGAAGTGTGCGTAAAATTATGAAAACAGATAACATTTGAAGTCCCATAGTTCACCGAAAATGGAGATTTGGTTCATTGGCTTAAACAGTCGGTGGGTTTCGCGTTCGAATCCCTCTCTATCTACATTCCCTGGGTAACAATGTGGTATCCTAAGCGATAAGATAATAAGTGAAGTCCATAGTCTAACGTGTGAAAAATGTATTCCAGGTGTGTTTAAACTAATTAACTAAATCAATCGAAAGCATATAGTTTGGACCCTCAAGTTCTGCATCAAAACTCGAATCAACTTACACCTATTTATTGACTTTCATTCAGGATTTTCAGGATTACCACTATCTTCAAATTTCCTCAAGGAATGATGCCATACGATTGGACATTTATATATTGTGACGTGAAATATTCGCTCATCGTTGCAATGTGATGTAGGTGTTGTCTCGTTCCAGCTTAACCCTCCAATTGTAGCTAGTGGTAACTTTATGAAGTGGAAATCCCGTCTGCCTCACTCCATCTCAAGATACGCTGCATATGACCTGCAGCAAACAAACATTCCCTACCTTTTGTGGTCACGTAAAACCAAGACCCTCTCAAACACACATACTTCAAGTAGAAATCGACGTTAACGATGTGGGTAGCTGTGGAATGAGTGGTTGGGAACTACAAACGTCCTTACACTTTTAACGCATGAAACATTTGTTTATCATACTCCCCCATTTTCGTTTTTCCACAAACTTTAATGTCCTCACGTTTATTTACATTAAAGGACTTAAATCAATCAAAACATTAATTCTAGTCATTTTAAACCAAGCTACCAACTTCCCAATGCAGATTCAAGCATCCAAACTATTTGCTAAATCAGACGACATATATCAATATCCAAAAATCTAGCATCCTATACTTTTGACGCGTGTCACATCTCCGAGACATAAGTCATTCCTTACGGCTGAAACAGGTGTTGTAAGTAGTAGACATAAAGAGGCTAGTTAACTTTGAACATAAATGTTAGCATTCTATATCCTGCATTAAGTAGCATAATATGCTGAGTGACATTGACGCCAGGCATACAGTGTTAGTTAAGGAGGGCATCATCTTCCTCAAAGGACAATGATAGCCAACACAGGATTAAGTTGGTTGGTTTAAGACAATCACATAGGGAAGTGTGCAGGCTGGAGTGACGTCCACGAGACACTAAAAATCAGTGGATGAGTACTGTTGATGACATGATTTAAAATCATTCTCGATGGGGCAGGTGCATCAAGTCTGTGAAAACTTCCAGATCCACTAAATTCTTGTTTTCCATGTAATTATACTTTTTTCTGTACATTTCCTTTAGTTTTAGTTTCCTTGAGTCTTTCTTTTCCCTACTTCTGGGTGCTTTGTGAAGTGTAGCAACTTGAACTGCTGCACTTTTGTGCGCAGTTGTGCTTCGACTATTTCGTCCAATTCACTTGATGCACACAAGACTAGAGGGCTATTTGTTAAACACCAGCGTGGCGAATACGGTGGATCTACAAATCCACCCAACCTCTATAGCTGATTTCCATAGAAGCTACCATACAGTTCATATGAACTGTGATCAAGATTTGATCGAATAGTTGCAAAATAATTGAGCGCTGAGTGAGAAGTAGACATTTATAAAGTTATATTTGTAAAATCTCAGCGAAACTGAAATCACTCCTGGACTGGATTCCAGTGAACAGTCGCATGTTATCCGGACGAGTCCATAAGAAAAAAGAAAGACTAATGCTTGTTCATGTCGTTTAGTAGTCTCCGCTCATACGCATACCGATTTCAATTAAGACCAAGTAAACAAAAATCTTTTGCGGGAAGGATCTAATTTTCTGCAAAGAGAAAAATTCTAAGAAACAGTTATAGGAACAGGTTATTTCAATGAAGTGAAGAAGCCTAGTCAGTTAGGAAAAAATTCTGGAGGCACTTCGGTCAACGAACAAGCAATATTTCGTTCAGACATTGTAAACTAAGAAGCAATTATATCTGAAGACCAACAATATAACCCACTTATCCGGAAAACGTTTTTTCATGTGTTACGTTAAACCACAATTGTTTGAGTGAGAGTTAGCGATGCTATTTAGCTGCTCAAGTTGAAGTAGATATAGTGGATTCCAAACTCCGTACCAATTAATTGAAAATTGAGTACCTCCCCACTATTCTCAAGTTAAAATCCGGTTGATATCAGTCTTGCATTACTGTCTTACGTTTGACAGGAGTGAAATGTGTGCCCAACATGCATAGATGATTGCTCAGGGTCTTGGGAAAACTGCACTCTGTAACCATCCCTACCTAAGTGGATTAATTTTGCATACTCTAAGCCAGCACTTTAAATACCGAAGTCAGTCGGTCACATCTGTCAGTACATATACATAAGAATGTTGACATTGAAGACTAGACAGATATCACTTGTTGTCATCACTTCAGGTGACAACACTCCATAAGGTTCTAAGCGACTGCTCGAGCTCAGATAAAGTGCCTTGAATTACGTGAAATCCTTTCATGTTATTCACTTTAACCTAATTTTTCGGACACCAGTATGTTCCTGTCCTAGAACCTGTAAGACAATGACGGTGCGATCAACACACCCACATCATGACCTGAATCTAGTTTCCTTGAGATACATCAGATTAACTGACTATTGACGTAGTCTCGGCGTGGGTACAAAACGCCCATTAAGTATTGACAAAATTCAGTCGTATTTAGTAGTGATGTACAGCTACCCACCTAAGATTAGCTTTTTAACCCAGCAATCCTCCGTATCTTACTTCAGAGACGCGGGAGATGACTACAATTTCCGGTCTTAGGTGCCTTTATACAATTGCTTACTTTCAAGGACAGAACCTGGTGAGTAGTTATGATATTCAAAGTGACCTTAACTTAGGGGGTCTGACACTTGGGCTTGCCTCAACGACCGTTGTTAGCTAAATTTGGATTAAAGGGGAAAAGTTCAGGGAGATTTAGACTTTTGCATCCCAGCTATATTTGTAACAACTTAACAAGAGGAAAATAAGTACCAGGACATAACTGCATAACGCCATCTTTAGACAACTCCTTTGATCATAAACTACTGGAATCTAGCATTTCGCTAGCCCCAGTCCAATGTGTCATTAAGTCCACACGCTGACTCGCAGCACTTCTCTTCAACCCTGGACCTAGTGTTCTCCCATGGTGAGGATGTGGACCTCACATATCTTCCTCCTTTAGGAAGAAGTGATCACTCAGTGCTCACTTTCAAGTTCACAGCAGCAGCATCAAGGGCCAAAACCCCAGCTCGACTAAACGTTTGGAAAGCTGATATAAATGCGATCGTCTCAGCAGCCAACTCAGTGAGCTGGTACGTAAACCCAGAGTCTCAAATAGAAGCCGCATGGAACCAATTTAAACAACTTTACGTTCGATTAACTGAACCTTTCATCCCTTGGCCTGTCCCAAAAGGTTAGAAACATTGCCCCCCTTGGATAAACCGAGAGATTAGTAAGTCACTCAGATGTAAACACAAATGTTGGAACCTGTTTGTCACCCCTGAGACCAGGAAATTATACAACACTGCTAGGAACAAAGCTACTGCAGAAATCCGCCAATCAAGGATTGGTTTCAAACCTGACTATTGACAAGGACACAATCGAAGATCAAGAAAAAGCAGAAGCAATGGCAGACTAATGCTCCCAAGTCTTTATACAGGAGTCGTCACTCCCCACAGGATCAGCTCTGGCTGCATCAAAGGAACACGGGATAGATTCCGTTGAGGTAGACCAAGACACCGTGCTCAACTGGCTAATGAAACTAGATGCAGGGAAATCAATGGGTCCTGATAATCTTCACCTAAGGCTTTTCAAGGAGCTATTAGCTCACATAGCCGGCCCTCTCAACACGATCTTAGAGCTAGCTTTCCTAAATGGAGTGTTACCGCGTGACTGGAAAGACGCCATAGTAACCCCCATCCACAAAGGAGGACCAAGACACTGCCCTTCAAGCTGCGGGCTTATTAGTCTTACCAGCACTTTATTCATGGGAAGAATTATCAAGAAAAGCATCATGGCATATCTGGGAAATTATTATTATATCCTTTAATTCCTAGAGGAACATAGGGCTTCAGCTGCGCATCTCCATCTGGGAAATAACAATTTGTTATCCAGAGCACAGCATGGCTTCTGAGGAAACCCTTCACGCCTGTTAAATCTCCTCACTGCAAGAGAAATCTGGCTCAAATCAGGTGGCAGTGGAAGACCCATTGACGTCGTCTTCACAGACTTTGGCTAAGCCTTCGATAAAGTCCCTTATAAAAGATTACTCACGCGATTAGGAAGTCTTGGTATCAAAGGAAGGTTACTAGACTGGATTAGGGAATTCCTCATAGATAGGGGGCAGAGGTTTAGGATAAACTGGAAACTCTCCTCCTAGACGGCAGTGTGCAGTGGAGTGCCACAAGGTTTGGTACTCAGGCCTCTCCTATTTATTATGTATATCAGTGAGTTATCTGTGTTCGCAGTTTCCCAAATGGTCCTATGCGCAGATGATTTAAAAACCTGCAGAGAGCTCAAGGGCGACAGTGATACGTTCACGTTGTAAGGGGCCTCAACAAGCTGTCAGGGTGGTTCAGAGAATGAATGCTGCCGACCAACGTAGCGAAATGTGCAACTATGCGCATCGGACAAGCCAGCAACATCTCCAACAAACTAGAGTGAATAATACTCCCATCAGTTCAGACCCACTTAGATTTAGGTGTCATAGTTAGTCACGATTTAAAAACTGCAGCACACTGTCGCGCGATGGCTGCATCTAGTTTCAGATCCTTATGGGCAATTCGTAGAGCCTTACTAGAATCACCAGAGATATGTTTACCTCCTTATATACATCTCTGGTGAGTTCGAGACTGGAAAACTGTATCCAGGCAGCCAGTCCTTGTCTTAAAGGGGACTCACATATTCTAGAAAGGGTCCAAAGGAAGGCAACACGTATGATTCTCGCCATGACTAACTTATCATACGAGGAAAGACCAGACAGTTTAAATCTTTTCTTCGTCATATCGTTTAAAGTTTTAAATAATGACTACGGACCTGACCTATTCTCTCTTTCCCTTCCCACCATCTCGGAACTTCTTAGAAGACATAGCAGAATTCAAAAGCCAAGGAGAAATATTTTTGTTAAGTACTGGTTCTCATACCAAGTTATAAACTTTTGAAACCGACTCCCAGAAGAATTGGTGTTTGCAACCTTAACTGTTTCATTCAAGAAGGGTTTGGACAAGCAGAGAAACTTACTAGAAAAGGATTAACGTAAACTTCAAGACCTCTATCCTCAACCAATAAATCTAAATCTGAAATCTAAATAAATTAACCAATACAGTGTTACTAAATGTATTAATTAGGAACATAGCATCAGGAAAGCTAAGACAAAAGGAAAGCCCTATTTCGGATCGTTGAATAACAAGTACAGTTTTCCAATACTCTAAGTCTCATTAAATTCAACCTAACTCAGATACGTGTCAGCATGATCAGGGATTCCTGAAAGTCTGTTAAACAAAAACCTATGTTGAAGACTGACTAACAGGGATAAGCATAAAATTTAACATAATAAAACCACGCAGTTTTAAAAAGTTATTAATTTAAGGTGAAAAATCAGCATTAAATGAAACGCCGTCATACCAGCAGATACAAAATATACAGACCGACTGACTTACAGTGTACTTGAAGATCGGACTGGAGGAGCAGGAGCATGGTGAGACATTTCTGATCCATGAATTAAAAAAGTAGCAGATGGTGGTGAAAGACGACTGAGACTGTTATCAGCAGCACATACATGATCAGTGAGTTCACAGAAGCTGGTCGTATTTGACATTACATGACTGTCATCAGAACTATTTGCCTGACTATAAGACCGGTCAGGCATCATGCCACAATATAGCAATAAATGAAATTAAAATCCGGGAGTCATAACTTTTCTGAGCATAGTTTGCCTGAATGACTAGATCTTCTTGACAGAGAAAACTGGAAACATCAGCACAAGCTAATTGAATACATTCTAAATGTAACAGCGACTAAATAGTTATTGAGATAATAATCCGGAAATGTCGGGGATAGAATCCACATGAAACCTGAGATGAATCGGAGAGTATCCAAACGTGCCTCCACGGAACACAAAGCAATGTGACTAGATAAATGGCGCAGACAAACACGACAAAGTTACTAATATGCACTGAAAGTATGTAAAACGTTTGAAGAGCTTAAAATGTTGAGTACTTCGATTTTTTGTAAAACTTTGTAGGAATAATTCTATAAACGGGTTTTATAGATTCTGTTGGGCATTTGAGCATCTAGCTACTTAGATCGTGAGAAATTCGAAGTCCTAGAGGGATCCTGGAAGCCAACTTTAACTTCGCATAAACACCAACTCGTGGAATGAAGCCAGTGAATTTCATTTGCGAAAAGATTAAAATGATCAACAGTTTTACTATTTTTAGTCGGAAAGCTAATATCAGGCCGCTGAGTGAAGTGTTTAGTTTTACAGAAAAGTTTCACCGTTATGCAACCACTTCCAGTTACAGCCTTTTTACTCATGTACTGCTGCGGACTGCTCCATTCTATATGCCACACAGAAGTTTCCAAAGAAAGTCCTAAGATAAACATAATATTGGCAGCTGTGAATCTGAGGACTTCGGGATTCTGTTCCATTCGAAGAAGTACTTTGACAGAGTGAAGGCATTAACGAATTTCAAGTAGTTTTCGGTATTTCATTACACATTTCTAATCCTATCAGCGAGTAAGGATTAATATCTGGAGAGTTGACCAGAAATTTGAATAAGGCAATTATTCAGTCTCCATCGATGTTCATTTGGAATACTTCCTTTACCTAAATACTTGCCTACAAATTAAGAGTAGTTTGGTCAACCCGTGGTGTGGCTAAAACTTATTCTCATTCAGATATTTGGCTGTATGACAATCACCATAGTTACTCCCAGTTGATACGAGAAAGATAACTGTTGAGAATCTTTCAAAGAAAAGAAAGGAATATTATGTGCTCATCTGTTATCTCTAACCAAACCTTTCTAAAACGCCGGAGCATGCTTGCATTGGGATTCGTAAAAACTATTTTGTGTATCCCTAACGAATACTTACTATTGTGCGAACGAACATTTGTTTTTGATAATTTAATATACATTCTGAGATCAGGCACTTAAGGTTTCTATTCTCGTACTTAAGAAGTTTAGCGATGCTTATAAAACATTTTCCCAAATTTTAACTTGTGCCTTTTTGATACATTTCGACTGCTCATGAGGGACTAGCCATATTGGGCGTGCAATGAATTATGTCCATTTTCTGAGTTGATGGAGAACCTTGAGCAGGAAGAGGTACAAAGAATGTGTTCCTCTGGGCGTTTGATATTTTCTTTGCGGTGTTGATGAGAAGGCGCCTCTGAAAGCTGCGTTCACGTTTATCATCTTCGGTAGAAAAACGGATCTTTCCTTCCAGGGTGGTAGGTTTTTCTCTACAAAGCATGCAGGAATCCCGTCTTTTATGACATCATTTACTTAGTTGCGAAGCTTTTATTATCTTTCTAGACAACAGATACGCTGAAGGTGTTGTCTAGATAGACGACGAAGGCTTTATTTGACTTCACTCCTTCGGTTGTATTTTAACTACCCTTCGCTGCTCCTAAATATTTGGATTACGTAAACAATAGTCCGCACTAATGAGCCTTTAGGTAATCACATACAAGAAAAACTGAACATAATTGTAACTGTGCAGCCAAGTTACTTTTCTAAAACGTACAATTTTTATAGTATTTCGCAGTATTTTTAACGTTATATAAGTTTAAGGGTTACTTCGCAATGTCTTAAGCGTAGCGCATGAAAATCGGTCATGGAAATTTACCTTAACTAGCTCTGTTAAGCAGCTGCTTTCTTCAGTATGATTCTACATAATTTTATCACTAATTCTTCCACCACACATTTTACTCTGCTAAATAGACTATAACTTAGTGGCTGTAATACTAGCTACTTCTATACTTCATACTTCTTAAATTAAACGCGATTTTCTAGGCGTTTGTAAAAATACTTGTGTACATGTATGCATGTATAAAGGTGATGCTGTTAAGAATGTCTTCAGGTATCGTTGTATCTGGTGACCTAATGGGAAGCGCTTGTCACGCAACCTGATAATGTAACGCAGATGCCGACCCGTGGATGCTAAAAGTCAAAATATGCAACAGGATTATTTTCGGCTGCAGCAAACAATAGCCCCACTCGCTGCACAATTCATCCAGGAGATAGTACACACACTGACTCTGTCTCACCTCAGAGCCCCTCCAAACATAACGTAGGGATAGTAACAAGTAACCATGTTAACCTCTCCTCTAATAACTCTGGTTTACTAACGACTATGCTCCTGAATGCTAGATCTCTCCTTAATAAAACAATATCGCTTCGCTGCCTGGCATACATAGAACGGCCAACACTAATAATGGTGACTGAAACCTGGCTTACTACTGATATACCTGACACAAAGCTAGTAATAGACAACTACGACATCTATAGGAACGATAGAGTTGACAAAAGAGGAGGCGGTTGCTTAATATATGCCTATAAATCCACTAACTCCAATACTTTCAATAACCCAACTACTGACAAACTCCCAGAATCTAAGTGGATAAGCATCCACACAAACGAAAGTAAAATTCCCGTGGGATGTATATACAGACCCCCCAATAGCCCTGAAATGACTGATATAACTATTGGAGAAATACTAGAGCATGTAGCTACGCTGAACTTCGACTACAAAGTAGTATGTGGAGATTTCAACTTACCTGGAGTAAACTGGGATACCTGTACAGGACCTAGAATCCATGACGAGCTACTACAAGCTATAGACGTAGGAGGATGGAAGCAGTGCGTACGCCTCCCTACAAGAAACAAAAATACTCTTGACTTAGTCATAAAATAGAACCCATCTCGATAGAGGTGGGAAATAAACTCGATAACAGTGATCACAACATATTGTACTGCACGCTACCCCTCCGACTAACAACTAAATACACACCTAAAAATTCCCCGGTGCGCTATCAATATAGGGACTATAAGAATGCTGATTGGGAATTCCTGTCGGATCTGTTGAGAAGTTCTGACTGGGAAGAATACTTCATCAACAATAACTTAGAAGTATTACTTGAGATTTTCTACAAAACAATTGGCTCAGCAAGAGACACAATCGCGCCCCTAAAATCTGCTCTAAAGACACCAACTCCATTTATAAACCGCAAAACGCGACTAAAACTAAAGAAATTGGAAAGGAAATACCATGTATTTAAGGAATTTAATGCGTTAAACCAAATACATGAAACTCTTAAACTGCTTGAAGAGAAACACAAATTGAAGTCACAACATGAGGAAAATAAAGCGCTTGTGGGTAACACCAAAACTCAGGAACTTTGTAGGATATTGCAGAAACGTCTAAAAAGCAGTAAAAACAATAATGTAAACAGCTTGGAACATAAGGGTATAATATACAACGATCCCCAGGTTATAAGTGAACTCCTCAGTGAGTGGTTTTGCAATGACACCAGAGTGCACCCGACCCCAAATTTCCAAATGACCTGCAAAAGTAACCACAAATTAGGCGAAATAGACTTTAATATACAAAATATAGACTCAGCGATTAAGACATTGAAGTCTAATGGCAGTACTGGAACAGACGACATACCATCTGTCATATACAAAAATGGTAGCACGGAAATGGTAGTCTTGTTACTTAGAATATTTACTCTCTCACTGGAAACTGGAACTTATCCTGAAGTGTGGAAAACCACATACATATTACCTAAGCACAAAGCAAGGGCCAAAACCAGTGCATGCAACTATAGACCTATCAATATAACACCGGTAATATCACGAATAATGGAGAAAGTGGTTAAAGACCAAGTGTCAGACAACTTACTAGAACATGAACTTATCAATCCATCACAACACGGATTCCTCAAAAAGAGATCATGTTTGACCTGTCACATAGACTTTTTCAACGAAGTTACACGAAGTAGGGACAACAGAGAACTAGTAATTGTGCTATATTTCGATATAACAAAAGCCTTCGATAGAGTCCCCCATAATATGCTAGTCAGCAGGTTATGCTCACTGGGGATATGTAACCCTCTCCTGAGCTGGATAAAATCATTTCTCTGTGGCCGAAGTCAGACAACGAAAGTTGGCTCGATAACCTCAAGGCCTAAACCAGTTAGTAGTGGTGTAATCCAGAGAAGCGTATTAGGCCCACTCCTATTCATAATATATATAAACAGTATCTGTGAATGCTTTAGTGTAGGTAAACCAATACTATATGCAGATGACTTAAAAGTGACCTATAAATGCAAGAATACAGATCTTGGAATAACAGTAAACGCCATACAGCAAGAATTAGAAAAAATGGATAGATGATGTGACACCTGGCAACTCCAGTTTAATGTCGAAAAATGTGGCTGGCTCTGCATAGGTTGCAACACTTTAGAACTTGACCTGACAATTCAAGGCCATGCACTGTCACGACTGGAATGTGTATTGGACCTAGGACTGAAATACTCACATGACTTATCATTTTCTGAACATATCTCCAAACAAGTGTCAAAGTCATGCAGACTTATCGGCTTTCTACTCAGGAACTTCTACAGAAATGAGTCTAGAATTCTGTTGTACAAGGTTTGTGTGCGTCCTTTATTTGATTACTGTTCATTCATGTATAGTAGTATACGCATAGAGGACAAATTGAAAGTCGAGGGAGTGCAGAGGTACTTCACGTTAAAATTACTCGGAACAGAAAATGGTGCGAACTACTCCACTAGATGTGATACCCTAGGACTAGAAACACTATGGCTAAGACGCCTGAGACTAAACTTAACACTTTACTATA